GCTCACACCGGGCTTGCTTCGGGTGGGGAAGGCAAAAAGTGCTTTATTGTCCAAAATGGGGCCACCCCCCAGCTGCGGCAAACAGACACCGGGCTCGTTTTCCCCTTCAGAGATCCCAACTTCCACCTTCAACAGGAACCACGGAAAACATGAACAGTGGGATTTACCACAGGCTTGATTCCACACTTGATCAGGAATTTTTCAATCCAAAGTTTATTAAAAAAAGGGGCAAAATCCATGTTAGAGAGCTACATTCTGAGCCTCTGTTGGAAGAGGAGATCTCTGAGTGGGAAGCACACGGTGGGATCTCACCTTTATTTACATCAACAAAGACCATTCCCAGGAAATCCCACAAAGATCTCTAGGCCATTTCCACCTGCTCAGAACCCTCCGTGGGGCTGCAGGTTTTATTGTGCTCTAGTATTTTTCCTCCATTCAAGGAAAACAACAGTGGTTTCACACAGCCAGGCATGGAGGGGGGGGTCCTTCACAGCTCACACTTGAGGATTTGCTTCGTGTGGGGAAGGCAAAAAGTGCTTTACTGCTCAAAATGCAAACCTCCCCTAGGCCACCCCCCACCTGTGGCAAACAGACACTGGGCTCATTTTCTCCTTCAGAGATCCCAACTTCCACATTTTCAACAGGAACCACAGAAAACATGAACAGTGGGATTTACCACTTGATTCCACACTTGATCAGGAATTTTGATCATTTTGTCAGATTTGAATTGAATGTTTAAAAAAGAGCAAAAATCATGCTAGAGAGCTACATTCTGACCTCTCTTGGAAGAGGAGATCTCTGGGTGGGAAGCACACGGTGGGATCTCACCTTTAAAAGATCATACCCAGGAAATCCCACAAAGACCTCTGGGCTGCTTCCACCTGCTCAGAACCCTCCGTGGGGCTGCAGGTTTTATTGTGCTCTAAGATTTTTTCCTCCTTCCTTCAAGGAAAACAACAGTGGTTGCTGCAGAGAGGAAGCTCAAGATCCTTTTCTAGATACAAGACTGCCCTTCCCTGCCCAGACTCGCTTTTGCCACCAGATAAAGTTTAAAAGAAAAAGCTCATAATAAGGAAAATGTTGCTCTTTCAGTGATGAAATTTCCCCTTGTATCCAACCTGAACCTCCCCTGGCTCAGCTGGAGGCCATTTCCCCTTACCCTGTCCTTGTTTCCTGGGAGAAGAGGCCGACCCCAAGGGATACCAGAGGGAGATTATAAATTATTAAAGGCAGGCCAAACCAAAAAAACACAGGAGCACAAAGAAGATGCTGTTTTAAAAGTTGCTTTGGAAAGACCCTCTAGATACTGTGTGCAAGGAACCTGGAGGAGTTTCTCCACCTGACTGATTTATTAAGAAAACAAAATCATTCTTGAATTCAATTTAAGACAAAGCCCTTGTTTCAACCACAGGCTACCAGATACAGAAGTAAGCATTAAAAAACAGGGGTCTGAGCATGTGATCCTCCCTTAAATTTATCTTTTGGGTTCTGCAGAGGGAGGTGGCCCCTTGCCCCCTTGCTCAGGGGACACTGCAGAGTATGGCCAGTTCTGCAGTGCTGCTGTTGTTGGCTTGGTGGACAACACTTCACTCGTTGTTAAATGACCCTGGTCCCAAGGAGGGAACAGCAGAGGTTCATTCCCGTTTGGAATTTGACTGAGATTTCTTTAATTCTGTGTGAATAAGATTTATTCTGTGTGAACACTTCCCTAACAATTGTATGGATCTGTATTCCCTTTTTTTCCTGGCATTTGAACCGAAGGTGACCACAGAGAGCACGTGCAAACTGCAGAAGGGGCCTGACACCTAATTTTATTTCCTCCTCGCTATTCCATATTTGAAGCTTAAAAAAACGTCCGGGATGGACTTTTGCAAGTAGAACATGGGAAAGATTTACTGTTTATTAAATTAGAAGGCAGCTACTGTGTGCAGCTACCAGGAAGAATCCCACTTTATCCAACAGGAGCTGTAAAAATCCTCACTCAGAGTGTGACCAGCCCAGTGCCGGAGGCAACACGGAGCATCCCTGGCAGTGGGGGACGGGGCAGCCCCTCGGCCCAGGGAGAGGGGAATCGATGCCAACTCAATTACAGAATATCCCAAACATGGATCAGCACATCAGCAGGGCAGGGAGGCAGTGCCAGTGTCACAGCTCTGCCCGAGGGGTTGGGTATCAATGCAGAGATCCCAACGCGGCAGAAAACGAACCGGGTGGGGGTTTCCAGGAGAATTTATAATCTCCCCCTGGTATCCATCGGGGTTGGCCTCTTCTCCCAGGGAATGAGGGACAGGATAAGGCCTCAAGCTGAGCCAGGGGAGGGTCAGGTTGGATATTAGGGAAAACTCCATCACTGAAGGAGTGGTCAGGCACTGGAAGGGGCTGCTCAGTGCAGGAACAATTCCACCCTTGGAATCGTTCAAACAACAAGCAGATGTGGCACTCTGTGACATGGTCTAGTGGCATGGTGGGATTCAGTCAAAGGTTGGACTTGATCATCTTGGAGGTCTTTTCCAGGCTTAACGATCCTGTGATTCTAAAACCCCCCAGAACAGGATGGCTGCCAACACACCATCACCCCTCCAACCCCTTGGGAGAGGCAAACCAATGCTCTGCCCTCCCCATCCCATCTGCAGAGCCACTGCTGGATCCCAGCTATTGTTATTTTCCATTCTTTCACGTTCTTGGCACCTACCAACACCCTTCCTTTTCCTTCCAGCAGCTGCAGGCAAGCTGAGTGCTCTGGGAATTCTGGCTCCCTGCATGTTCTGCTTTCACACATTTGTTACATCACCCATCATGAGCCTTCTCTCCCCACAAACCTTCTCCATCTCCTCACACTGCAATCTCCTCAGATGTCTGATCACCCTCCTGATTTTTCTAAATCTGCTTTTAATTCTGCAACATTATCTCTGTTCATTCTAGTGGCCAAATTAAAAGCTACTCGTGTGTCAGTATTCAATGCAAATACTGCAGTGGTTTTTTCCCTTTAGAATTGCTGGGGTTCATTATTATTCTTAATCTCACCTGACACAGGGCTCTTTTTGGCTCGCTGCTCTGGGCCACACAGATGCTTTCACTGAGCTACCCAGCACAGTGGGACTCCCTTCTGATGTATCACAGCTGATGGGCCTCCCTCAGCACCTGAGCTATTAAATCAGCTTTTCCCAATATTTTCTTGAATTCACTGATAGTCCAATGAATTACATCAAGCTTAAGGCAGTATAATTTGGGAGGTTTGGAGAAGGAAGGCCAAGGGAACCATGGGCTGTGTTGGGAAGAGCGATGCTGGCAGGGGAAGGGGGTGATGCTTCTCCTTGCTCAGCTCTGCTGGGACCACACTTGGAAGCTGCACCCAGGCCTGGGCTCCCCAGTACAAGAGGACACTGGACCTCAGGGCTGCTGGAAGGACTGGAGCATCTGACACAGGAGATACAGAGATAACCAAAACCCAAATGATTTTATAAGAGAATCACAGAATCACAGAATGGTTTGGGTTGGAAGGGACCTTAAAGACCATCCAGTTCCACCCCCTGCCATGGGCAGGGACACCTTCCACCAGCCCAGGTTGTTCCAAGCCCCGTCCAACCTGGCCTTGGACACTTCCAGGGATCCAGGGGGGGCCAGCCACAGCTTCTCTGGGCACCCTGTGCCAGGGCCTCTCCACCCTCACAGGGAGGAATTCCTTCCCAATATCCAATCTAAACCTACTCTCTTTCAGTTTGAAGCCATTCCCCCTTGTCCTATCACCCCATTTCCTCATGAAGAGTCCCTCTCTGGCTTCCCTGTAGCCCCTTAAGACACTGGAAGGTGCTGTGAGGTCTCCACACAACCTTCTCTTCTCCAGACTGAACAGCCCCATTTTTCCAGCCTGGCTTCAGTTCCCCTTATCAACTTTGTGGCCTCCTCTGGAATTGCTCCCAAGTTCCATGTCCTTTTTATGTTGGGGCACCAGAACTGTGCTTGGTATTCCAGGTGGGGAATAATCCAAGCCAACCTGAGCTGACCCTGCCTCAAGTAGGAAGGCTGGATTAGATGATCTTCAGAGGTGCCTTCCAACCTCAAATTACAGCATCTAAAAGTTCCATCAGCTCACATGTGGGACCTTCCAGAACATGAAGCATTATGACTGTTATAAATTCCTTAGGGTGAAGCTTTTCTGTGTCTTTGTTTTAACTGTCATTTTAAACAAATCCCCACTGAAACTTATCTCAGTACAAAATAACATCCACTAACTTTAAATCACAGAAAACACTGCACTTTAAAGCAAATTAAAATTCAGTGCAAGGATGGTACACTCATCTTCCCTCCAGCTGATAACACTATTGTTTCATGAAATGCCAGAAGTGATATAAGTTCCTTTATTTGCAGTGTTATCAATGCAGCTCCTGAAGAACAAGCTCCTTGCAACTGGAAATAATAAAATAACATGGTATATCACTTGGCATTGATTGACATGTTTTATTTTTTGTATTGATATAGAAAAATGTTCCTCTGTGCGAGTTTTAAATATAAATTTCCATTGACAGAACATTCTGTATTATTATTGCTGCTGTTTCATCTGTCACATTTTCACTAAGCTCTGAAAAATTACACTGTTCTGCCAGAGCTTTTTGGTGTCCTCTGTGCTGCTCTGGCAGCCAGTGCAGTTAGAAAGAGTTTCCCAAAAAGTAGGAGAGAAAGAATTTAATCTTCAGGATTTGAGATCTCTCAATAAGGAAATCACCATTGAGAGACAGCACAGAAAACATAGCATATAACTGCAATCTGGATTAGAGAATATATCCTTGGACATATTCAAAGTAAGGCAACTGGAGGAAAAGCAACATAAGAGATGAACAGACTGGGGCTGTTTCAGAGCAAACATCTCCATCCCTTCCCTTCCCTTCAGCTCAAGCACTGGTGAGATGGCAAACAATTATTGCCTGAGAGGGCAAAAGCGTGGCTGGAATAACAAGCAGCAGTTTTTGCTCCAAAATAGTTTTCTTTGCCCAGCCCATGCAAATTAACACATTAAAACCCACCCAATTGTTCTCAGTTTTAAATTCAAGTGCAAACTACTGGTCAAAGTCTCGATCAGATTTTAATTAATCAGTGAGTAATAAGAGAATTAATCTTTGCAAATCCCACAAATGTCTCACTGTGTGATTTTCAACATGACTTGACACAGGGTAGAGGAAGACATTGAATTTGGGAAGGAGAGTTGGGAGAGGTTTTCTCAAGATTTGCAGCCATTCAGAAGCAACTTTAGCTTGGGCAGGATCTGTGTCCTGGGACAGCCAGTGGGAGATGGCAGAGTCAGAGGAGGGCCCCAAAAATGTGAGATGGGTAGGGCTGAGGTACAGGAGAAGATGATGGAGAGGAGGAAGAGGCAAGATTGATGGAGAGGAGGAAGAGACACTGATGGAGAGGAGGAGGAGGAGAAGGAGGAGGAGGAGGAGGAGGAGGAGGAAGAAGAGGGGAGGAGGAGGAGCAGGAGGAGAGGCTGATGGAGAAGGTTCCTTCAGCCTGGAGAAGGGACAACTCCACTGGATTTAGGGATAGCTGCAGCCTTCCACTGCCTGCAGGGGCTTGGAGAGAACACACAACCACGCTCCTCCCAGAAGGGAAAAGGGAAAGGACAAGGAGTGACAGTCACGGGGTTGACCGAGGATATTTTCTGTTAGAAAAGTTCTTCCCAGCTGAAGTGGCTGACCCTGGGACAGGCTGCCCCGAGAGCCCATGGATTCTCCACCCCTGGAGATCTTCAACCCCTGCCTGGACACGCCCTGAGCACCAGGGTCCCTCCCTGCACCCAGCCCTGCCTGCCCATGGGATGGGATTTCTCCTGAGGTCACTTCCAACCTTGAGCATTCCACGATTCTGGGCAAGTGCTGACAGCGGGAGACGTTCACAAAGAAAGGGAAAAATTAACTTGGTAATTGAGGAACCAGCCTCTCTTTATCTTCTCCAGCACATGAATAGCATTCAAAGGCCCTGGAAAACTTTTTCATGCAAAAATTAGCACACAGCCCAAGATACCAATCTATTTTAGAGGACAACTCTCTGCTGTTTCTCTTTAGATTCTTTCTTTTATTTATTCTCCAAAGACATCTTTGGCTTCAGAGAAAAGATGGGAATTTAATTTTTGTCAAAAGGCAACAACAAAAGGAACCATTTATAGTAGAAAGCTCTGCTTTGCTTTGAAGTATTCAGTTCAAATAGGTGCCTGTTAAAAGGACATTTTCTGGCCCAATGTATAGTAAAGTCCATTTCAAATCCATCACAACTTGCATTAAAAAATTGAATGAAAGTGTTAAAATGTGTGTGTTAAAGACAAAAACTTGACAAAACTACATTTCTTGGCTCTCAAGCAAACTTTAGCCCAGGAGATCAAAAACCTTTTGTGTCAGTCAACCCAACCTGGCCTTGGACACTTCCAGGGATCCAGGGGCAGCCACAGCTTCTCTGGGCAATCTGTGCCAGGGCCTCCCCACCTTCACAGGGAAGGATTCCTTCCCAATATCCCATCTAACCCTGCCCTCTGGCAGTGGGAAGCCATTCCCCTTGTCTTGTCCCTCCATCACTTGTCTCAAGACAAGTGAAGCCTTGTCTTCTCCAGGTGAACCCCCCCAGCTCTCCAGAGGGGCTCCAGCCTTCTGGGACCTCAGTGGCCTCCTCTGCACTTGCTCCAACAGCTCCATGTCCTTCCTGTGATGAGGACAGGCTCTTCCTGGCTGCTACTTTTCACCAACTCTTTTTTTAAGGAATTCAGGTCCTCTGAATTACACCTGTGTTGAATATCTCAGTGACCTGTGCAGAGCCACACGATGACTCTTAAAATGAGAGAGAATTACAAGTGGTTGCTGAGTTTCATCCTCTTCTGCTACATATTGGGACTATCCACCTGTCACTTCAAAAAAAATGGGGATGGAAATGTCTCCTAGTTCCATTCTCATCCCACCAACACTGTAAATCGTCCCAGCTTGAGGAGAAGGAGGGAGAAATTCAGGCTCAGGCAGTTTCCACAAAATCTATATCACAGCCCGGAGGATTTTTGCTTTCCAGCCAGCCAGGGGGGATGTAACAAGTTCCATCACAATAAAGATTTTATGATTTGCCTTCTCTATCTGTTTTCAAGCATGAAATCACCTTGTTGGGCAAACACGAGCAAGAAGTGTGACTATCTGTAAAATCAGGCTATTACCACATCCCTCCGCCTCGTGCAGGGCTCGGGAGCCTTTATGTTAAAGCACTTCTGAAACAGCAAAGACAGAGGCAAGAACAGCTTATTTTGGTCACTGTAATCTGATTAGAAACGCTGCCCACTCCTATATTTGCAGTAACAGAAAAACAACAGCAGCTTTTCCACTCGGCAGCAGCTGATCCCTGAGTCACGGCGGGACGAGGGGACACAGCCTTTCCCTCAGCACCACTGGGACACACTTGGCTGCCGTGGAGTCAGACAACACCCACCCTCTCCCCTGCTCCAGACTCATCCCAATCCACGCCAGCAGGGCTCAGGGGGGGCCATACCTGGTTCTCGTCCTGCACCTCCATGCTGTACTGGGGCCCTGGCTGAACCTCCGTGACTTTCTCTCCGAGGAGGAAGCCCAGGCGAGTCATGAGTGTGTTTGCTGCCTCATCTACGGATGGAGGGGGTCCCAGCTCCTGCTCAGCGTCACCTAAACGGGAAGAAAAACCAGATTCAGACAGGAATTGTTTACCTTGGCTGCTGCTCAGGGGTTTTGCCAACGCGCCGCCGCCACCTCTTCCCGCTGCGCCCGCGGGATCCGGGTTTTCAGGTTATTCATGTTGTTCGGGCCTGTTTTACCATTCTGTGCTGGTCATTCATTGTCAATATGTGTTTTTTCCAATGGTTAGCTGTAGTTCCTCCTCTCATTGTTTGTTATTGTCTCCCATGGAAGCAAACCCCAGCATCCTGCTGCCCCACAGCCGCTGGAGAATGGGAATTTCTGGAGAAAGGAGAGCATTTGTTCTCCTCCCTCACGCAGGAACTGCCTACAAGTTACTCACAGAGAAGCCAAGGCTACAGGTGCTGTTTGGAAGGGATTCCATGAGCTGCAGAGCAGCCAACCTGTGCTTCTGAGTGGTTAAGAGGAAAGATCAGGACAAAAAATCCATGTGCACCTTCTGCTGTCACCTACTGTCCCCAAACTTGCTCATGGTTATATAGAAATCAAGCCTCTCCAGACTCCAACCCACCTTCTGCACTCACCCTGTGGGCCACAACTCAAAGTCCACCTGCCAATTCCCCATCAAGTCTATAAAATAGACCAAAACCAACACTCCAGATAATTTTTCCTGATTTTTTCCCACCATCTGAAGGAAAAGTGGCACAGAAAAGCTCCCAGCAATGCACACCAGGAAAAGGCCAGGCATGGCTATTGGCACTTCTGCATCCATTTAATTTTATAACAAAAATCCGTGGAGGTTTTTAACTTGCATTTATCACACAGAAGTTGGGTTCTGAAAGTCAAGTTCACATCACACCAGCAGCAGGGTCAAACCTGAAGGTCAAGCTCTTGCCACGTTACACTGAAGCAATACTGTGCTTAGTGCAGTTGTAGGAGACTAATTAGGATTTGCAATTAGTCTACAGTTAATTATTCATCTGATAATGTACAATCTGGAAAAGAGCCCGTCTCCATTTCCCAGCTCTGTCCTGGTTTGGGCTGCAGCTCCAGTAAAAGGATGCTACCTTACATAAAATATTGCTTGTTGATAACTGTAACTGAAACCCACAGATCACAGAACGTGGGATATGTACAAAAACCTCAGGAAATTCAAGCCAGTTGCTTCCAGAAATTCCCATTTACTCCCACAGTGTGCAGCTCACCCAAGGTTACAGCGATTTTCTGGTGTCTCACTGCTGCAAATTAAAAACCCCAGAGCGTCTCCCGTGCAACCACGGGCTGTGTTCCTCCAGCACCAGCTCTGGGGGCCGAGCATCTGGAACAGTCCTTCCAGGGTGGCTTCACTGTTATGAAAATGGATGATACAGGAGGATCACAGGAGCCTTCCTTTAAGTTATTGAATCCCCACTGTACTGCTGGAACCAACGGTGACGTGAATCCCATAGATTTGAGAGAGACAAATTTAGATGGATGGCCCAATTTGCTGAACTGCTGACCACCCACAGTCAGTCTGGGGGCATTTACTGTCTCTGGGAGCCCAAGCCAGAACACAGGCACTTACGTAAAATGAAAATTAGAGAGACTTTTGTTTCCAAGGTTATTTTTTTTTTCCTTGCAAAAGGAAGACTTTCAGACTTTACCCTGAATAGCTGTACCCAGGATATGGAGGTTCTGAATCATTACAAGTTTATTGTGCATTCCTTGTTCTGCCTTCAGAACCGGGGTATTAATAATCCTCAAACAGCACTGGTTACACATCTGGGCAGAAAGGAACAGCTGGATCTACCTCTGCACTGCCCACCTGGGAGGATTTGGGAGTGCCCAGGTGATGCTGGGGCAGCTGCAGGGCACTGGGCACAGCCAGTTTCCTTCAGCTCAGCGTTGGGAACTACTCCCAAACCAAACTCACTCCTCGGAGGTTGAGTTTAAACTTGTCCTTAAACCCCTCTTTTTCTTTTTTTTACTACTCCCTAAGAAATCCCCACCAGGCACAAAACTGGCTTTCACCTGCAAAATAAAGAAAATTCCAAGCTTATCCAGGTCACTGCATTGGAATATGGAAGATACAGAGGATAATAACTGTCTGCTTTGATAAGAGTCCTCATGGAAGGGGGATGGAACCACAACATCTCTGAGGTCCCTTCAACCCAAACCATTCTGTGATTGAAATTCAGAGAATCATGGAAAGGTCTGGGTTGGAAAGACCATCCATTCCCACTCCCCTGCCATGGGCAGGGACACCTTCCACTAGCCCAGGTTGCTCCAAGCCCCGTCCAACCTGGCCTTGGAGACTCCCAGGGATCCAGGGGTAGCCACAGTTTCTCTGGGCAACCTGTGCCAGGGTCTCACCACCCTCACAGCCAAGAATTCCTTCCCAATATCCCATCTAAACCTGCCCTCCTTCAGCTTAAGGCCATTCCCCCTTGTCCCATCACTCCATGCTCACGACCTGTGAGATGCTGCTCGTGGCTCGGGGTATCAACAGCTTGAGCTCTGAGAGCTCCACATTTCATGTACAACTATCAATTATTTTATTATAACCTGGTTTTCAAAGTACAGATCACTTTGAACATAAGCAAAGCTCCACTGTACTGGATTATTCCCTCCTTAGGTCTTAAAAAACACGTGCAGTTGTTTAACTGAGCGTCAAAGAAGAGACAGCACAGCTCCGAGGTGCCTTGAATGGGTATTATGGAAAGAAGCTGTAAGTTGCCTTTCAGGGCTGACAGTAAGACCTAATACTCTCTTCCTAAGTTCAAGGAAAGGGTAGAAGTTGTTTTTTTCTCCCCTCCCACGTGTGCCATCCAGTCGGTGCCGCAGCCACATTTTACACTCGCCTCAGCACACTCGGTTCCTGCAGCCTCACCAGGGAAATCTGAGCACAGAGCTGATAACTGAACTGGCCTGAGGTATTTTTAGCTGCTCTGACACCACAGCTGTAACCAGCTACAGCAGCTCAAACACACCCCCAGCCAGCTCCAGCAAGCAACCTCTGGTACATCCACAACCAGTAACACCCTGCCCAGCTGGGCACGTGCAAACCCCAAATCCATCAGTGCATCCAACGTGCTCACCATGGTCTGGAGCTGCTGCACTTGCTGCACCAGCTCATGTGCCTCTGCATCAACAGTCAGTAACACTAAAAGCACTAAAAGCTCAGTGCCAGGAATTTTGAAGAAGAATAAAAAACCCTCCCTGACTCATTGCACGTGCACGAGGGTTTTTAAGAGTTCTGTGTAACTTGCTGTCCCTTTATGTTCAGCACAAAGCTTATAATTTTATATAAACACACATAAAACTACGGGAGGAAAAGGGTTCTTGGGAGCTGATGTGCTGCTGTGCTGGGAGATGACTCAAACCCACCCACCCACCCACCCAGCCAGGTCTCTGTCAGCTCCCTGTGGCCATCAGACCACAGAACTTGGGCTTTCACGGCAGCTGACAGCATTCCTTGGCTGTTCCTGTCGTTTGTGCCTCATGGAATTGTGCTCAGGGACTCTCTCCCAACATTCCACAGCCACGTAAGTGCCACATCCCATCTCCAAGTCGGCTGCATTTGCCTGTCCAGGTCTTCCAAGTGCTTCAGAGCAGACAAGTCTTGAACACATCCCTAACTCGTGGTAACTCCTACTCAGCAACTTCACCGTGGCAGGGAGGGCTGAGTTCAGTTCTTAATGAAAACAAGGGAAACAATTCTTCTTTAGGAGGGGGGAAAAAAAAAAAGGGGGCAATTCTTTGTTTTCCACGATGGAACTTTGGATTAACACAAATGGTTCTGGAGTGCTTTGGTTTGTAGCTCAGGAAAGCAGAGCTGGGGTTCACCAGAGACTGATGGAGCCCAGTTGGGTTGTCAGGGAGAGGATTTAGGGAGCAGACTCTCTGCAGGGAAATGCCCATGGAACGGGCACAGCAGTGACCCAGCCTGGTACCCACCAGGAACCAGCCTGGCTCCAAGGGGAACCACAGAACACTTTGGGTTGGAAGGGACCTTCAATCAGAGCAATTAAGCCACATTTATGTTGGATTTTCCATTGCTTTTCCATCACCATGAAGACAGGACTTCTCCTAAGGGAGCACTGGGCACAGGGACAGGAGCCTGAGGGGCTGGTTTGGAATTCCCTCCCTTCCCTGGCTCTGTGCTGGGAACGGGAACCTCTTGCCCTCCTGATTTTCCCTTCTGTGTGTCCTGCTCTGGATCACTCCAGGCACGGAGCAGTGTTACATCTGCAGGCTCTCAGCTCCTGTTCCCAGAGTTCTTATGCTCTGGGAGATAAAAATGCCAAATAACCTAAACACAGGCAGTATTTTATTCTAAAAGGACACCCTGTTTCACGTCTCTTTGAGAGCTTTTATTTATTTCTGCCATATAATCCTGCAGTTACCTGCTTTTTCCAAAGATTAAGGATTAAGAGAAGTATCCTTCAACATCATTTCTATCAACTACCTAAAATTCAGTTGCATATCTCATACAATCTTTTATTATTATCTTTCACTCTTTAGAGGATACCTTTCATTTCTGTACAGCTCACTAAGAAAGACTCCGAATGTCTTATTTTTGCATTCTTTTGCTTTTGCAGTGCAAAGGAGGGCTGGTTGCTTACATTTTTCTTACCAAAAAATAATAAATAATCCCTGTACTCCTTGGACAAATTACCTCTGCTTCTAAGCAGGCTGCAGGCTTTGGAGACTAATCTGTCTTGGAGCTGTTCATGGATTTTTATTTATGTCATTAGAAATAAGCAATTCCCTGCAATGTGTTTGTGCTCTGCACAGGCTGGATCTGTGATGAAAGTCCTTGGACCAGTGGCCAACAGCTCGTAAATCTCTGACTTCAGTACCTGAAATGCTGACTCCAGGCTTGGAGCACTTGGCCTTCCAATTAAACACAGCCAATTCCAAGTGGGGAGAAGTTTCCCTATTAAATTATTGGGGAATCATTTTTAGTAACGTTTAAAAAAGGCGTTTTTTTGTGGGGGGTCAGTAAACGTAACAGTGGGTGCAAAGGGGACACCAGTGGAAGTGGGTTT